TGTTTTCAAGTTATATATCTATATACTTTATCAGGTTGATATTGATGAAATTTTTCTGGAATGTGTATCATAGCGAAGCTCGAAACTTTCAAGTTGGTGAAAATGTATATGAACACGAAAATACGTTGTTTTTTGTCAAAACTCTGCTTTTAAGTCAATGTTCCAAAAAGAATAAAAACAGATAGATATTGATTAAGAAATTATATACTTTATGGTCTTTAAATATCGCCTTTCATGCATTACTAATTTCAAAGATCGTAAGGATTATTAGATTTTTGGCAATATTGTATGATATTATGGTCTACTGACCATTGGAATTTTCTAATGTGAGATCTGGGTTCGCTCGAAATATATAGGGAATATATATTATATATTAATTAAGTTTAACAATATTAAGAAGTGATTAATTGAAGCTCGCTTATAACTTCGTTCGTCTAAAAGCATTTCCAGAATTGATGGCCCATTTACAGTTCGCCTTTTAAGGTGTTGGGCATTAAAACGCAACCGCAGCTCACATTTGGGCAAATAATGCGCATTTTGGCCAAGAACATTGACATATTCAGGTTAAAGAGATGCGACTCAAGCCCACTTTTGATCTCATTTGCTTTGCAAAGAGCGCCAGCAAACCCAACACCAACATCTAAAGAAACAACGACAAAACCAACAACAACAACAACAACACGACTGTTAACATTCTGATTCACTTTCATGCGCAGCGCGATCGTCGATTCCGATTCCGATTGTGATTGTGAGCCAAGCGGCTAAAACCGAAAGACGCTTATACAAATAAAAGCCACGACAAAAACACATACACACACACACACACTCACACAAGCAGACGCATACACGCACAGAATGAAATGCAACAACAATTACAACAAAGCTGAGAATGAGATTTTATTTGCTTAACCAACGCTGTGAATATTTAATTTGCACACACGCACACACACACACACACGCACACACACATACACTCGCAGCTTTAACGACGCTGCTGACCCACTTTTGAAGCAGAGGCAGCTTTAAAGCTGACTGCAGAGAGCCATTCGACGCTAATAAGAACAGCAATGCCGCCATTACGAATACAAATACTCACACACACACACACACACACACACATATTGTTGTTGTTGGTGTTGCGTGCGTGCCGAGGAAAGATACTCACTAATTAACTCAACCAAAAGTCAGCCGAAAGAATCAAGCGACTCATTTGCAAATTATGCCTGTGAGAGCGAGAGGTAAATATGCCCAAAAGCTGAATGGAAGACGGCTGCGCGAGCGAGAGATGAAAAGAGTGTAAGGCTTTGGTGAAAGGGCATGCATCAGCGAAGAGGTAACACCCATATAAATAATGCTTAGGAAACCCCAAAAAAAAGTTGGCCAAAAAATACAATGACATCATTTTATCCGTTTAGTCAGTGGGTTAGTTAGCTGGGAATGTAAGATCGCCAGAAATGCTGAAAGAGCTCATAGTGTGTATGCTATATAAACAGGCATATGGCATATAGGCATATATATTTGCGACATATCCGCATTTTGTTTAACCAGTTAATTCGAAAACAACATCAAAGTTCTTACAACCAACTAAGTTGAGTAGAAAAGTAAATGCAGGTTATTTGAAATGAATTTTGGGAACTTTCGTAAAACAAGAAATCGATCTGAATACTACTGACATAATGCCACATTCTCAAAGAACAGCTTTCACTGCATTAATAATTATTTTTGCACATTTTTATAAAACCCATTAATTTGCTGCAGCTTAAGTTCTGCACTTGATGAATCAATCTGTAAGTCCCAACGCTCCTGCATCCAAATTGTCTCTCTCTCTCTCTCTCTCTCTCTCTCTCTCTCTCCTTCTACTTGGTAATAATCGAGATCAGTATTTCAAACACCCACACCTAACTAACACTAACGCAGCCATCACGCACCCTTCTGCATATGCTATATGTAATTGTGTATACATATGCATGTATGGGTCTACCTCATTTATTGTTCAACACTGTTAAGTAACCATCATCATCCAAGTTTTGTTTATGTTCGCTGCTTTGGCCCAAATTCTTGAAAGCTGACAGAGACACACACACACACACACGTACAGTGCGGGAGACAGAGGGGTTGGAGGAGAGTTTCAGTTCCATTCCCAATCGTATTCCAGCTGTGCGAGTGCGAAGAAAAATGCTGCGGTTCTTTTTCTTTAGGTAGGGTAATCATTGTCATGCTGGCGATTCTGTGCATTATTTCGTACCCACGCTTCTGCCTTGGTTACTTTTGGCTCTTCTTCTATCTGCTGCTTCTTCTTCTTCATTTTGTGATGATGATTATGATGATTCCACTTGATAGCAATTGTAATGAGCTTTAAGTTGAATGTTGGCGTTCTGCCCGCCTGATCATCATCATAATCGTGATTTTCTCAAGAGATGCAGATGCTGGCACCATCGTCATCATTTCTTGGTCACGCTGCGGTTTCCCCCTTCCCCCTCTACCACCGCACACTCCATCGTAAAAACTTACTTTTTGTCTTCTTTCTTCGTTTCTTTCGTTTTCATTGTTTTTGCTTGTTTAACCAATATTTTGCCGCTCGATAATGAAAGGAAAGCAAAACAAGAGACGAGTCGAGCCGAGTCGAGTGCCCCCAAAACAACAATACTTTATAATCATCAAGAGTGAATCTGCTTGGGCATCGACTCGCCTTCAAGCTGGTGAAATGCTAGCTGTTGTTGTACTCCGGCTGCTCGGCTCTCCAGTATTTTGTGGGCACCCCACGGGCACAGGGCACAGGCACCGACTTGACACTGTGTTGGCTGCTTTCTTTCATTCTGTTATGGGGGGATTTCATAATATTTGCAGTGTGTGCAGATGTGCGAGTGCGTCTCTTTCACTTACAGGTGTGTAACCCACTTTTACACGCCAACAAAGGTCTGAGAAAAATTCTTAAATGGTTAATGAATGATGCGACCCGCGTTTCCTGGAAACGACATCGTTTCGTGTAGTTACAGGCTTACTTCGGCCCATTCGCTTAAAGGGCCCATTACCAGAAAAGACAGTCGGCGGCATTTATAAACATACCAAAGCTTTGAAAAGCTTTTCTGGCGCCTAAAAGTAGGCAACGAAATCGCTTCAAGTTCAATTTCGCTTCAAGTTTTCAATTAATTCATTTTGTGTGTGCTATAGAAGCCCTAAAAAGCGAATTGCCAATGCGCAATTATCATTTAAACGTAGACAGATACATTAACTTATGAGTCTAATAAACTAATTAAGCGATAAGAGATCAGACAATTTAAATATTGTACTCAAGTTGCTTTTATGTTTATTTCATTTTGTTGTATTCTGTCTCATGGTATGAAACACTGTTTTTGCTGCAAGCCGTATGCAACCCTTATTCTATAGAGCTTTTGCAGTGTTTATTTTTTTTTTGTGTACAGGGTGTTTTCTAGTCTGGCAGCCTTTAATCATTCAATGACCTTGCATAGACATATCTGAGTTATGGTAAATTGTTGGAATAATGAGTGTTGAAATATACACAAACACTCATTCATACAAAAGGTACAATGACCATGTAGGCTTTTGTTATTTTCAGTTTTGATGCAGAAATGCCTTTATAGTTTAACTTTACTCTTCTCTGAACTTTAGAGAGTAAAACAAAAAAAGTAATTTATTAAATATTGAAATCGACTAAAAAAAACAAAGTGTTTTATTTAATTGTATACATTTCAATATAAATAGACAAATCAGGCCATCGAAAATGGCTTTAATGATAATTACACGCACAACTACAGTGTCCAGCACCAGGAAGCCATATAGAAAAAAAAGGAAATTATTACAATCGTATCAGCTAAAGTATATTGCCGCCTCCAGATCCGCTGATAAGTACAGACTGGTCAGTGTCGTGTTTCTGGGTGTAGTCTGTCTGGAAGTTGCCAGCTGTTTCCCTCCCGTTTCAATTATGCAATTGATTCGCTCACTGTTGCCGCAAGCTACAAAGTTACAAAGCAAATATTACAGCATATTCTAAAAAAGAGAGGGCCTCCCAGGCGCCTCGACACTGGCCCAGTTAAGGTGTGTTCTAGTTCTAGTTTATGCAGACGCAATTTATCGCTGGCGACGTCATCAACCACATGCGAGCCCCCTCGACTCTCTGATTGAAAAACGTGCAATGGTCGCTCTCTGAGCGAAAAGTGCGACGCACAGAGAAGATAATACGCTCACGAGGGGGCGTTCATCAAAAGAGATTACGCCAATAAGGACTAAATATGCTCCTGCAAATTATTATTAATATTTATGTTCATATCAACATAAATATTACATTATTTATAATAGTTATTATCATTATTAATATTATTATAATAATTATTATTATTATTAATATTATTATTATTATTATTATTATTATTATTATTATTAATAATAATATTATTATTATTATTATTATTATTATTATTATTATTATTATTATTAGTATTATTTTTGTGAGTCCACCTAACTTTTTTTTAATAATTTTAACTCATATAAAAATCTAAGAGTTAACCCCTTAACCTGGTTGCTCAGTTGCTTCTGTGACTTGATCAGACAGATTTGACAAGCCATCTAACTACGAGTGATAAACGTTTTATTTTAAAATGGTTCAAGAGAATGTGCCTATAATATAATATAATATAATATAAAAGCACATTTAATCGCACTTTTAGGATTTAGGTAAGAAAGGCAGAAGGTAGATAGTTTCTAAAAAAAAAAGTACTTATACTTATACTTAAACGTAACTAAAGAAAAATTAATAAATAACACAATATATTTATACATATGTCATATACCATACATTTGCAACAATATAAAATCTTTGCTGAGAACCTCTTCGACTCGTGAGCAGATTTTCCACTCGCCACCACGACGCTCTCTGAGAGCAAATGCGGACTGTCAACAATGCCAACAGACGCTCTCGCGGCATAGCCGTCGCGTGTTTTGGAAGCAACAATTCAATTTCAAATGCTCCGCCGACAGCTTTGGTTGGTGCTACGCGGCGCGTGTACGCAATTCCATTCGGACTACATAATTTGAACACACCAAAAGACAAATCAATTCCAAGTGGGATCAATAAAAGTGCCAAAATTAAGATTACTTATCTCCCGGTTGTCGGAATTAACATAAGTCGCCAGTCATGGAGCGAATTTTGAGAGGAATTATGCGTTATCGCAACACGACCCGAGAGCAAATGGTCAAGGAATTTCAAAAAGTTCGCGACAATCCAGAGGTGAGTAACTGCAGCCTGGAGAGGTCAAAGCTGGTCAAGTCACGTGCATTCATTAATTGTTAATTTGTCATTGACAGAACCGATTGTTATTAGCTAAAACACCGATGCACTCAAGCATGCCAATTGCCTTGAGCGACATTTCGATTTATTTTATTTTTTTTGTTCTTGTTTTTGTTGTTGTCTGTTTCGGTGTCTGTGTCGGGTCATTATCACACTTTTTAATGCCTTTTCAAACCAGACTGAAACGCAGACAATTCGAGAGACGCTCTCTCCCTCGCTCTCTCTCGCTCTCGTGCTCTTTCAAATGTGTCATTTAAGGTATTTCAAAAATGCACTCATCGAACGCTGGAGGCTTTTCTAGAGCTTAGATCTTGGAGAACTGCAAATGCTCTCTCAGACATTGCGAACTTTAATACTCATCGGATATCTCCGCTTGTCTTGCATTTTTGGTAAACAAAAAACAAAGGTTAACCGGTTGACTTTACTAAAGTGCGAAATATTTATTTTTATTTTTTTTATTTTGTTACACTTAATGTGGATGCTTTTACTTTTCAACAATCTTTTGCTAATTAGCTTTGAGCCAAATAAAAATGAATATACAATAACAACAACATGCACGTCTGTATGTATGTATCTCCATGCAAACGTGTAATAAACATACTTGAAGTTAAGCATATCAGTTTATGGATACCCTATGTGAGCTGCATGGTTATATTTTCCATGCGGACTATGTTTGTAATGATCTTGAACGACCGTGAACCCAATCAGATCCCATCGACTACTTTGACTGTCGCTTATATTTAAATACTTATTTTATCTTGAACCCAAATATATGTTCTAATATTTAACTAATACCTTATCAGCCGAAGGCCGTGTTTTTCACCTGCATGGACAGTCGCATGATTCCCACGAGATATACGGACACACACGTTGGCGACATGTTTGTGGGTGGGTACGAGCACATCAATATACAGCAGATTCAATATATATTCTAACACCTGTACGCTTTCACATGATTAGTGCGAAATGCGGGAAATCTGATACCGCACGCCCAGCACTTTCAGGACGAGTACTTTAGCTGCGAGCCGGCGGCATTGGAGCTGGGCTGTGTTGTGAATGACATAAGGCATATAATTGTGTGTGGACACAGCGATTGCAAGGCGATGAATCTTCTATACCAGTTGCGTGATCCCGACTTTGCCTCCAAGGTGAGCATGATCAGTACACGGTCTAGCGTCATTAAATGAACTCCTTGCCCTTTCAGCTTAATCGCCGGCTGTCGCCGCTGCGCTCCTGGATGTGCACACATGCCAACACCAGTTTGGAAAAGTTTCAGGCGTGGCGCGATGCAGGCATGAAGGACCCGTTGATATTCTCTTCCGAGACGCCGCTGCGCCGCTTTGTTGCCTACATTGATGAAGAGAATAAGTTTGCAATCGAGGACAAACTGTCTCAGATTAACACCCTGCAACAAATGTCCAATATTGCATCATACGGGTTTCTTAAAACACGCCTCGAAACGCACAATTTGCACGTGCATGCGCTGTGGTTTGACATCTACACAGGTGACATTTACTACTTTAGTCGCGGAGCCAAGCGCTTCATTGCCGTGGACGAGTCCAGCGTAGACCAGTTGTCCGCGGAGGTGAGACGCTTCTACTCCTAGTGCTGTAGCCTGCGGCCATTATTCAGCCAGCGGTGCCTTGGATTTATGTGTCTGTGATATGTGCAACACAATGTTGGGTCTTCTACAGTGTGCTTATAAATAGTTCTCTCCTACTGTTACTTGTTACTCGTATCAGAAGTGGCATTTATATATAAATATGTCCTATTGTTAGCATTTTGTATTTATAAATGTTTGTTTTTACACGTAATGTGTGTTTTTTGTATATAAACTTAAGGCCTAGAGGTTTAAATTGTAAAGCATTCTTATAAATGTAGGAAAAATCAACGCTCATACTCGTTCGATACATATGGAGATGTTGGTTATATGTTATGGGAAGCAATAAGAATAGTCGGCTCGATCGCCGCTTCGATGTGCAACAATAAACTGTTTGTTTCGCGTAACGAAAAACAAACATTAACATAAACGGAAAAACATTAAACTTAACGACAGTCACAGCCCATCAGTGGTACTTGTGATTGTGATGGTTCATGGCAATGTTGCTTGGATTCTCCAGCTCTTCAAAGTACTTGCGGGCATTCCGTATGTTCACCAGCGTCGATTCTGACGGCAGAGTGGGATCTGACATGACCACCATCACGTACGTATTGCTTGTGAAGGTATCGATGAAAGCGGCAAACGCATTGTTGCGCACCTCCATGGATTGGAACTTGGCGCCCAGTTTGGAGCAGCTCAGCTTAAACTGTTTTATGATGTTCGAGACCTTTTCAAAGCGATGCGAGTCACGGTTCTTTTTGCTCTGGCAGTGCGAGATGACCAGAAACGTGGCTTTTTCAAACAATAGCACCTCGTCCGCCTCAATCACATTAGCAAAATGCGTCAATGAGTTCTCGAGTGCCGCCACATTTGGAATTAGCATGGTAACAATAGATGACCAAGCTCTGTGAGAGCAAAGGTTAATTAAATGTCATGCTCAGTTTTTAATAATACTCACTTGTACAATGTCTCATCCCAAATGCTGGTGCGGAAACATGTAACATTGCCGGGCATGGACAAGCGTATGAGATCCCCTTCGCGCTCCTTGAAAACACGATCGCGTTGGTCCTCGGCGAGTAGATCCATTTTGTGCACCAGACAAAAGATCTTCGCCTCTGGTGAGTTGTGCAGCAAGGCCTCCAGGCAACTCTGATAATAGTGCACATCCCGTTCCATTTCCTGGCTCTCCACATCAAACACATAGATAAGCACCTCCACATTTCGAAATATGTTGTCGGGCTGCTGCGTACAGTATTGCTGCATGAAACTCTCCTGACCGCCGCAGTCCCACAGATTAAGCACCAGGTTGCCTAGAAAACGCACATGCGAGTGCTCCACATCGACTGCAAGTTAACAATTGTTAAGCCTGGCATTGGAACACTGTCAAAAACCTATTTACTTGTTGCGCCCAGACGTGTCGTATCACGGGCTATATAGTTGGCAAATATGATAGACCGCATACTCGTCTTACCGGAGCCGCTCTTGCCCATAAGCAGTACCTATGGGTAGAACAAAACAATTAACACTTAAGTTCGAACGTTAAATAAACAATTTTTGCCATTCATTTACCTTTTTTTTCATTTTTATTGCTGTTTTCAGTTTGTTTTGTTAATAAAAAGGCTGGGTCCAATCGGAATAAAATGTTAATGTAATTATCGGTTACTTGCCGATAGACCCTTCGATAAACTGTGGCGGTCGGTCGATAATGCATTAAAGCAGTCCTGAAGCCCTTGATTCAGAATCGTATTTTAGTTTGCCCGCTGCCCAGCACTTACTACACTCAAGCAAAAGCTCCTTGCTACGAATTTGTTCCGCCAATTTTGAACGTGCGGAATTAATTCCTTTCGATATGCACTGCAGACAGTCAAATACTAAAACAAAATTAATTTATGCGGCAGTTTCTAGCTACTCTCAGACTGGCTAACATGAAAGGGTTGTATATTGTTCTGTTTTTGTTTCCTTCTCTGGAATGTAGTACCACACGCTGCAGGCGTTCAATAAAGGTAATCTTTTAACCAAAACCTGGTAAAGCATTCTCTATCTAAGTCTCTTCAAGCAGCCACTGGGAATGACCTTGTTGTATGAGTCCCTCTGTCCCGACAGCCAAGAATTCCTTACCAGTTTCTGGCCAGTTTTTCGGTATTACCATAACTGCATTAATCTAACGTTGGTCCCATATGGCAAAGCCAGAGTAAGTTACCAAAACGACATAGCTCCGCGCGGAGATATGACGTTCCAAAACGACATAACTCCGCGTGGAGATATGACGTTCCAAAACGACATAACTCCAGCGGAGATATGATGTTCCAAAACAACATAACTCCGCGCGGAGAATGTGGACTTTGCAAGCGAAACGTTTTTTGGCCAACAACTTTTTTATAATAGTGCCATATGATAGTAGGGATCCGTACGCATTCCAAAAGGTATAACATTTCAAAAACAGGATATATTTACCCGAGAGTTCAAAAAAAAAATCGTCAAAAAAGTTTGTTTTTTTTTTTACCTTATGTATGTTTATTGTATTGAATCAAAAAATAGCATACTTTTTATTACAAAACCGTTAACTTAGGTGGTATCTCGCCAATCCTGGTTGGCTCCTCAGGCTTTATCGTGGACAAACGTCAAAGCCGTCTTCTTTGAGTAAGGCTGATTTAAAGGCGGACGTTCCAAAACAACATAACTCCGCGCGGAGATATGACGTTCCAAAATGACATAACTCCGCGCGGAGATATGACGTTCCAAAATGACATAACTCTGCGCGGAGGGTAAAAATTACCACCCCCATATCTCGGTCAAATCTCATCCGATTTTCACGAAGTTTGGCTTTTTCTTCATGCTTTTTCCTCTAGATTAATCTGGCATTCAAATCTGAACACCGATTTTTTAGTCGAAATGCATGTCCAAATCTTACCCCAAGATTCGTATATAGACATGCTTCAAAAATTACCACCCCCATATCTCGGCCAAATCTCATCCGATTTTCACGAAGTTTGGCTTTTTCTTCATGGTTTTCCCTCTAGATTAAAGTGGCATTCAAATCTGAACACCTATTTTTTAGTCGAAATTCATGTCCAAATCTTACCCCAAGATTCGTATATAGACATGGGTCAAAAATTACCACCCCCATATCTCGGCCAAATCTCATCCGATTTTCACGAAGTTTGGCTTTTTCTTCATGGGTTTCCCTCTGGATTAATGTGGCATTCAAATCTCGACACCGATTTTTTAGTCGAAATGCATGTCCAAATCTTACCCCAAGATTCGTATATAGACATGCGTCAAAAATTACCACCCCCATATCTCGGCCAAATCTCATTCAATTTTCACGAAGTTTGGCTTTTTCTTCATGGTTTTCCCTCTAGATTAATGTGGCATTCAAATCTCGACACCGATTTTTTAGTCGAAATGCATGTCCAAATCTTACCCCAAGATTCGTATATAAACATGGGTCGAAAATTACCACCCCCATAACTCGGTCAAATCTCATCCGATTTTCACGAAGTTTGGCTTTTTCTTCATGGTTTTCCCTCTAGATTAATCTGGCTTTCAAATCTGAACACCGATTTTTTAGTCGAAATTCATGTCCAAATCTTACCCCAAGATTCGTATATAGACATGCGTCAAAAATTACCACTCCCATATCTCGGCCAAATCTCATCCGATTTTCACGAAGTTTGGCTTTTTCTTCATGTTTTTCCCTCTAGATTAATGTGGCATTCAAATCTGAACACCGATTTTTTAGTCGAAATTCATGTCCAAATCTTACCCCAAGATTCGTATATAGACATGGGTCAAAAATTACCACCCCCATATCTCGGCCAAATCTCATCCGATTTTCACGAAGTTTGGCTTTTTCTTCATGGTTTTCCCTCTAGATTAATGTGGCATTCAAATCTCGACACCGATTTTTTAGTCGAAATTCATGTCCAAATCTTACCCCAAGATTAGTATATAGACATGGGTCAAAAATTACCACCCATGTCGTTAAAAAAGTTGGTTTTTTTTTAACTTATGTATGTTTATTGTATTGAATCAAAAAATAGCATACTTTATATAACAAAACCGTTAACTTAGGTGGTATCTCGCCAATCCTGGTTGGCTCCTCAGGCTTTATCGTGGACAAACGTCAAAGCCGTCTTCTTTGAGTAAGGCTGATTTAAAGGCTGACGTTCCAAAACGACATAACTCCGCGCGGAGATATGACGTTCCAAAACGACATAACTCCGCGCGGAGATATGACGTCCTAAAACGACATAACTCCGCGCGGAGGGTAAAAATTACCACCCCCATATCTCGGTCAAATCTCATCCGATTTTCACGAAGTTTGGCTTTTTCTTCATGGTTTTCCCTCTAGATTAATGTGGCATTCAAATCTGAACACCGATTTTTTAGTCGAAATTCATGTCCAAATCTTACCCCAAGATTAGTATATAGACATGCGTCAAAAATTACCACCTCCATATCTCGGCCAAATCTCATCCGATTTTCACGAAGTTTGACTTTTTCTTCATGGTTTTCCCTCTAGATTAATGTGGCATTCAAATCTCGACACCGATTTTTTAGTCGAAATGCATGTCCAAATCTTACCCCAAGATTCGTATATAGACATGCGTCAAAAATTACCACCCCCATATCTCGGTCAAATCTCATCCGATTTTCACGAAGTTTGGCTTTTTCTTCATGGTTTTCCCTCTAGATTAATGTGGCATTCAAATCTCGACACCGATTTATTAGTCGAAACGCATGTCCAAATCTTACCCCAAGATTCGTATATAGACATGCGTCAAAAATTACCACCCCCATATCTCGGCCAAATCTCATCCGATTTTCACGAAGTTTGGCGTTTTCTTCATGGGTTTCCCTCTGGATTAATGTGGCATTCAAATCTCGACACCGATTTTTTAGTCGAAATGCATGTCCAAATCTTACCCCAAGATTCGTATATAGACATGCGTCAAAAATTACCACCCCCATATCTCGGTCAAATCTCACCCGATTTACACGAAGTTTGGCTTTTTCTTCATATTTTTTCCTCTAGATTAATCTGGCATTCAAATCTGAACACTGATTTTTTAGTCGAAATGCATGTCCAAATCTTACCCCAAGATTCGTATATAGACATGCGTCAAAAATTACCACCCCCATATCTCGGCCAAATCTCATCCGATATTCACGAAGTTTGGCTTTTTCTTCATGGTTTTCCCTCTAGATTAATCTGGCATTCAAATCTGAACACCGATTTTTTAGTCGAAATTCATGTCCAAATCTTACCCCAAGATTCGTATATAGACATGCGTCAAAAATTACCACCCCCATATCTCGGCCAAATCTCATCCGATTTTCACGAAGTTTGGCTTTTTCTTCATGGTTTTCCCTCTAGATTAATGTGGCATTCAAATCTGAACACCGATTTTTTAGTCGAAATGCATGTCCAAATCTTACCCCAAGATTCGTATATAGACATGCGTCAAAAATTACCACCCCCATATCTCGGTCAAATCTCATCCGATTTTCACGAAGTTTGGCTTTTTCTTCATGGTTTTCCCTCTAGATTAATGTGGCATTCAAATCTCGACACCGATTTATTAGTCGAAACGCATGTCCAAATCTTACCCCAAGATTCGTATATAGACATGCGTCAAAAATTACCACCCCCACATCTCGGCCAAATTCCATCCGATTTTCACGAAGTTTGGCGTTTTCTTCATGGGTTTCCCTCTGGATTAATGTGGCATTCAAATCTCGACACCGATTTTTTAGTCGAAATGCATGTCCAAATCTTACCCCAAGATTCGTATATAGACATGCGTCAAAAATTACCACCCCCATATCTCGGCCAAATCTCATCCGATTTTCACGAAGTTTGGCTTTTTCTTCATGGTTTTCCCTCTAGATTAATGTGGCATTCAAATCTCGACACCGGATTTTTTAGTCGAAATGCATGTCCAAATCTTACCCCAAGATTCGTATATAGACATGCGTCAAAAATTACCACCCCCATATCTCGGCCAAATCTCATCCGATTTTCACGAAGTTTGGCTTTTTCTTCATGGTTTTCCCTCTAGATTAATCTGGCATTCAAATCTCGACACCGATTTTTTAGTCGAAATGCATGTCCAAATCTTACCCCAAGATTCGCATATATACATGGGTCGAAAATTACCACCCCCATAACTCGGTCAAATCTCATCCGATTTTCACGAAGTTTGGCTTTTTCTTCATGGTTTTCCCTCTAGATTAATCTGGCATTCAAATCTGAACACCGATTTTTTAGTCGAAATTCATGTCCAAATCTTACCCCAAGATTCGTACATAGACATGCGTCAAAAATTACCACCCCCATATCTCGGCCAAATCTCATCCGATTTTCACGAAGTTTGGCTTTTTCTTCATGGTTTTCCCTCTAGATTAATGTGGCATTCAAATCTGAACACCGATTTTTTAGTCGAAATGCATGTCCAAATCTTACCCCAAGATTCGTATATAGACATGGGTCAAAAATTACCACCCCCATATCTCGGCCAAATCTCATCCGATATTCACGAAGTTTGGCTTTTTCTTCATAGTTTTCCCTCTAGATTAATGTGGCATTCAAATCTCGACACCGATTTTTTAGTCGAAATGCATGTCCAAATCTTACCCCAAGATTCGTATATAGACATGCGTCAAAAATTACCACCCCCATATCTCGGTCAAATCTCACCCGATTTACACGAAGTTTGGCTTTTTCTTCATATTTTTTCCTCTAGATTAATCTGGCATTCAAATCTGAACACCGATTTTTAGTCGAAATGCATGTCCAAGTCTTACCCCAAGATTCGTATATAGACATGGGTCAAAAATTACCACCCCCATATCTCGGCCAAATCTCATCCGATATTCACGAAGTTTGGCTTTTTCTTCATGGTTTTCCCTCTAGATTAATGTGGCATTCAAATCTCGACACCGATTTTTTAGTCGAAATTCATGTCCAAATCTTACCCCAAGATTCGTATATAGACATGGGTCAAAAATTACCACCCCCATATCTCGGCCAAATCTCATCCGATTTTCACGAAGTTTGGCTTTTTCTTCATGGTTTTCCCTCTAGATTAATGTGGCATTCAAATCTGAACACCGATTTTTTAGTCGAAATTCATGTCCAAATCTTACCCCAAGATTAGTATATAGACATGCGTCAAAAATTACCAC